ATCATTGTCATATAACTTCAGCTTGAATAACTCTTTATTTGTTGTTCAATCTTAATAAAATTAATAATTTAGACATTTGCAGCTATATTTATTTTCTAATGTTATTATAGTTCTATTTTTATTAATTAGTTGTATAGTTAAATTTTCTTTTGTTTTGTATCTGTGTGTCCTTCTTCTTTATATTTGTCTGAAAAATATATAATCATGTTGAAATAAATGAAAAACAAAGCATGCTATATTTTTATATTTATTTTACTAATTGAAAATATTTAAAGAAAATAAATTAATTATTTATATAATTACATCCTATTTGTTTTTCTAAGAAAGTCGAAAAATTAGGGGAAAGCTGAAACACCGGACCTTGTGAGCGATCATTTTTATTTTAAAATTAAAAACAATGATAATACATAACAAATGTTTTGATTCGGATTGAGTTATCCTTAATGACGATATAAAATTATCATATTATATTCTAGATAAATGTTAAAATTTTGCAAATAAAAATAATAAACGCTTCAAAAATAATAAAATATTATTTTTGACTTGTTTTACATCTTATTATTTCATTATTTTTGATGAGTTTGTTAGTTTTATTTACGGATTTTTAACGTTAATAATTTAGAATACTAGACACTATAGCGCTGCACGCTATTTATCTTTTTAAAATAGAAGAAGCAAACGACATATTATAATATTGTTAATCTTTTGTCACAACACAACTGTCAAAACGATATTCGCGATGACGAAGTCGCTAACGAAGTAAGCGCAATTGATTAATAAAGACACGCTTATTTTAAAGTCTTTTGTTTCTTTTATCACATTTAGAAACAAAGTTCCTGAATCCAAGATTTCAGTGATCAATATCGACTTATAAACGTGTGATAAAGCGATATTGTTTAGGAATAGGATAATTGAAATTCGTAGATCCTCGAAATTAGGACGAGAAAACATTGTCCGTCGCGACTTCGCTTCCTTCTCCCGATTGACATGGATCGCTAGATAGTTCGATAGCGTTTCCATTCCGGCATTTCGCCTTTACCGTCGTCTCGTATAAATGATTTTGGACAATCATTTTTGTTGTAGATGATCATTTAGTAAAAGTAAAAAATAAATTCCAGAGGTGTTCATGTGTAATGATATATTATGATATATGAAATAGGATATCTTCATAGGATTATCTTCAATAAAATCAATTGTATTTTTAAAACTTCTTAAATATATTATTCACCAACCTTATATTGACATTCTTAGAACGAAACAACAATTAGATTACATCATTACATCCACATTTATGAAAATAATGAAATACATGGCTTGATAATATTAATACAAACAAATAAAGATCTTTGATATATTAAAGATATAATTAATTTATGTATGCATTTGATGTTGGTAAGTAATTACTTACATATAATAATAATAAATATAATAAATAATACAATAATAAAATAATAAAATATAACATATAATATAATATAATAATAAAATATAACATTTTAATGTATTAATTGAAATATAAAACTTTTTTTTATATTTATTTTTATATTTTATAATGTTGTATTTAAGTCAATTTACTAGTCAATTCATTAGTTGTATTTAAATCTATTTACTGTGTCATATAAAATTATATTATATAATTATTGCAACATAATATAATTATAATTATATTGTAGGATTATGTAAATACAATGCCCAACAATACGTTCCAAGAAAATAAGGAAGCTGTGCATCACTCCGTTATTTGATAAAACCAAAAACGTTACGTGAAAGAAGCATTTTATATTGAAGTGAAATTAGAAACCCGACAGTTCCCATCAGTTATAATATTTTTTTCACAAATATATTTTCTGCAGATGATTACACAGCAACAAGCATACATTTTCCACAATCATTTATTATTATTTACATCTTATTTTATAAATGTAAAACATACAACTCTAATAAAAAAAACATTTTTCAACAAACAAACAAATATTTTTGTATATAATATTTATATACAAGAAAAGCTTTTTGTATAAAAAGCAAAATGTATCTCGAGAGAAATTACTTTTTATAAAAATTGAAAAATCTTATATTTCTATAATATTTTATAGGAAAATATACTTAAAAAAACAAATTAATTGTTCACGTAACACGAAAACGTACTCAAGATCTGAATTAAGTTATAAATAAATTCATATTGTCATGAGGATAATAGAGGAGGTTTTAGTGGGTAGGCAAGACTGAGGAGCTTTTCGTTCGACATGCCCCTCACTTGAATCCCACACTCCTCAGTTCATCCACATCTTTGGAAGATTTTCTCCTCTTTAATAAAAAAAAAAAATTAATGTAGAAAAATTAAATACAAAGAAAACTATTGGATTTATTGCTTTTCTATTCTTAATAAATATACAACAATTTAAAATTATTTAAAAAATATATATGCACATATATAAATGTGAATTGCAAATAAAAAGGCTAAGAGTTAAAATTGTTCGCGATTGTTAGTGCGTGGTAAAAATAATACTTTTTGCGCGATAAACAATTTCTTTAATATAAATTCGAGTGTAACCGTAGTTTGAACGTTTCGGTTCTATATTGAGCCATCTTCAGCGAGAAAAATACAAAAAATTAAATAAAACTCGGGACATTGAAATAAGAAATATAACCGTGGCGATTGGTGTCGTGTGTCTATGTCGGTAACCGTCAATCGATAGATGAAGGTGGATCGGTTCCAGGCCGGTAGCATAAGGCCAATCAAAAGATTACCTAAGTGTGAGCATAATTTTAGTGACTTGTAAAGAATCAAAAATGGGATTCCAAGTAACATCTATTTATCACTCGCCATACAGGCACATGTCCAATTATTTGTCAAACATATAGGAGTCAAATCGCAGTTATATCTTATTGAATATAACATCGACACAACGACATAATAGTACCGAATTAAAAGCACATGTAACGAGTCAAGCAAATAAATTCGTTTGAGTTCTACTAACTAGTTTTAATCGATAGTCAAAATTTAAGTTACATTAGAAAAATGTTTTTAATTTTTTTTTTATGTTTTACAAAATGTACAAAGCAACGCTTTGTCCAAACATGTAAATTTAAAAAAAGAACATTTACGTCACTATCGTCGTCATGGTCGCCATAAGGCAAAGAGTAGCGATACTATTCTTCCGAATGTCGTACCGTGTTTAATATGAAAAATGTAAAAAAGTGAAAAAAATTGTTTAAATTTTTTTCTTGAATTACACATAATGAGAATCGGAATTTAATGTTATTCGAAAATTGACTACAACTGTCGTTTAAAGTGATAATATTTACTCTATTCTTGTACTTTAGGGGGAAAGATGTTAGATTACATTCGCAAAATTAATACATTATTTAATTTGATCTTTTGCTATTAAAAAAGCTATAAATATTACGTTATTAAAAAAGCTATAAATATTATAAAAAAAATAAAATACTTAATAATTGTAATCGCGTGTATAACGTTGAATTTCGGCATGATAAGAAACGTGAACGGTAGCTCATCCTTCCCCTCGCCGCGCTGCCCAATCATCGCCAAGCGCCAGGCGGCCAATGTCGACAATCTGGGCCTACGGATTAGGCGGGCGAGCGTGCGCTCTTATTCGTGCAACTTTAATACTTAATAACTCGAAAATTATTGCGAATATCGCAAAATGGTATAAGATAGTTTGATTTATCTCGCTCCCATCTACCTCCTTACAAGCGATAGGGACAGTGCTACGGGACACCCTGTGTGTAATATATATATATATATATATATATATATATATATATATATATATATAGTGTGTGTGTGTGTGTGTGTCACACACACACACACACACACACA